TGTTTTTAATAGCAATGCGGTTTCACCGTGTTGGCCAGGATCGTCTGGATCTCCTGACCTCATGATCCACCCACCTCAGCCTCCCAAAGTTCTGGGAGATGTAAGCCACCATACCTAGCTGAAGGTGTGTGTTTCTAAAGACTAGGAGCTGCGCCAGGAGGTAGGGACAACATAGAAGCTTCTTTGATGGGTAGGACAGGAGTGGAGGCTGGAGTTTGAAAGCACTGTCAGTAAGGAGGGTGAAGCAGTTGACTTAAGAGAGATTCTGGGCTTCCCTAGAGGCTAAACGTAGGGCATCCTTATGCTGGCCTAAACAATTCAGTCTTCTTTACTTATAAGAATCAGATGGCATGGGATTCTGAAACAAAGCCTGGGTTCAGAGCAAGGGATACCGTTTACTCACTACGTGGTCTTTTTCATATGACTTAATTTTTTTAAATCTGCTTTCTCATCTATGAGGATAATGATAGTATCTCCCTCTTATAGTGTTGTAAAGATCTAATTAGATAATGGATGTGAAAAAAAATTGAAAATTGTAAAACACTATAATAATACCAGTTACTTTTTTTTTTTTTTTTTTGAGACTGAGTCTCACTCTATTGCCCAGGCTGGAGTGCAATGGCACAATCTTAGCTCACTGCAACCTTTGCCTCTTGGGTTCAAGTGATTCTCCTGCCTCAGCCTCCCGAGTAGCTGGGATTACAGGTACATGCCACCATATCTGGCTAATTTTTTTATTTTTAGTAGAGATGGAGTTTCACCATGTTGACCAGGCTGGTCTCAAATTCCTGGCCTCAAGCAATCTGCCTGTCTCGGCCTCTCAAAATGCTGGGATTACAGGCATGAGCCACCTTGCCCAGCCCCACTAGTCAGCATTATTATGTAATAAGCAATGAAGTATGGTTGATTGTATCTCAGATATATCTCCTTCCCCAACTTCTGTTCATCCCCCGCTCTAGTTTGGTTCAAACTTCTATCTTCTCTGTGTCATTTCTGAAGACCCTCTCTATTTTCAAATGCTCCTAAAGGAATCTTTCCACAGAGCTTACTTAAAAACTGTCTAGGGAACAGGTGAGGTGGCTCACGCCTATAATCCCAGCACTTTGGAAGGCCAAGGCAGGTGGATCATGAGGTCAGGAGTTCAAGACCAGCCTGGCCAACATGGTGAAACACCATCTCTACTAAAAGTACAAAAAATTGGCCGGGCGCGGTGGCTCACGCCTGTAATCCCAGCACTTTGGGAGGCCGAGGCAGGTGATCACGAAGTCAAGAGATCGAGACCATCCTGGTCAACATGGTGAAACCCCATCTCTACTAAAAATACAAAAAATTAGCTGGGCATGGTGGCGCATGCCTGTAATCCCAGCTACTCAGGAGGCTGAGGCAGGAGAATTGCCTGAACCCAGGAGGCAGAGGTTGCGGTGAGCCGAGATCGCGCCATTGCACTCCAGCCTGGGTAACAAGAGCGAAACTCCGTCTCAAAAAAAAAAAAAAAAAAAAAAAAAGTACAAAAAATTAGCTGGGCATGGTGGTAGGCACCTGTAATTTCAGTTACTTGGGAGGCTGAGGCAGGGGAATTGCTTGAACATGGGAGGTGGAGGTTGCAGTGAGCTGAGATCATACCACTGCACTCTAGCCTGAGTGACAGAGCAAGACTCTCAAAAACAAACAAAAAACAACTGTCTAGGACACAGTACCATCTACAAAATAAAGGACAAACTCAACCAGGCATGGTGGCTTGTGCCTATAATCCTAACACTTTGGGAGGCTGAGGCAGGAGGATTATTTGAGCCCAGGAGCTCAAGACCAGCCTGGGCAGCATGGCAAAACCCCATCTCTACAAAAAAAATACAAAAATTATCTGGGCATGATGGCACACACCTGTAGTCACAGCTACTAGAAAAAAAAGACAAACTTCTCAGCTTAGCACAAGGTTTTTTTTTTTTTGAGACAGAGTTTTGCTCTTGTTGCTCAGGCTGGAATGGCATGATCCAGCTCACTGCAACCTCCACTTCCTGGGTTCAAGTGATTCTCTTGCCTCAGCCTCCTGAGTAGCTAGGATGTATATACTTCTATTTGGTTTGTTTTCAGTGCAACAGCCAGAGTGATTCTGTTATAAAACATGTTAGGTCCTATCAGTCCTCTGCTCAAAATCCTCCAATGTCCACCTATCCCTACTCAGAGAAAACCAAAGTCCTCACACAATAGCCTACAATATCCTACACAATATGGCTTCTGGTTACCTTTCTGAGTTCATCTTTCATGACTCTTTTCCTTGCTCACTGCACTGCAGCCATACTGACCTCTTTGCTGTTCTTCCAATACATCAGGCATAGTATGCACTTGCCATTCCCTTTGTCTGGATAATTCTTTCCTAGATATTCACATAGCTTATTTCCTTACATCCTTCAGATCTTTACCCAAATGTTATCTTATTAGTGAGTCCTTCCTTGATCATCCTATTTAAAATCTTCATTATGAGGGAGAGGAAGAAGGAGCCAATGCAATGTCTAGTCCTTATTGGAAAGAAGACACTTTACAGCCCATTTTGAGTAATTAGTGCCAGGGCTCACTGGGCCAACTGGTGGGGCATCAGCTTGTAATAGGTTCACAGTTAAGGCATCACTGGGTCTTGCCTTTGCACAGTCAGAACCAGTTGACAGCACCATTGTCCGCTTCACAGATGCAGCTCATTATTCTCTGGGTGATAGAAGGAGCTGTTAGGGTTTTCCCTGGTGCCTGAAGCTGCCTTTGGTAGAATAGTATAGTGTATGGGTTCAGTGCCATACATGGCTATCATGAGCTCCCTCTCCAGCCCAGTCATCTGCTTGTCATCAGTAGGTTTACCACCTCCAGATGCCATGAAGCACACTGCAACCACCCCTTTGGGACTGTAAGCCCTCAGGGCCTAGGCAGCTAGTGTTCCAGCTCTGAAAACTAACCTCGAAGCCATCATGCCTATGACAAGCAGCAGCTTTGTTTGTTTGTTTATTTGTTTGTTGAGACAGTCTCACTCTGTCATCCAGGCTAGAGTGGAGTGGCATGAACATGCTCCCTACAGCCTCAACCTCCTAGGTTCAATTAATCCTCCTGCCTCAGCTTTTTAAGTAAGCAATTCTATTTAAAATCTTAATGCCTCTTCCATCTCTATCCCCTTTCAGTTTTATTTTGATTAACATTGATCACTATCATCTATACATTTTATCCATTTAGTTTATTGTCTTATTGTCTACCTCTCCTTCTACACAGATTGTGGATTCCAAGAAAACACAATGTATATCCCGTTTGTTCAGGGATGTATCTTCAATGCCCAGAATAGTATCTGGCATAGAATAAGCTTTTTTTTTTTTTTTTTTGAGATGGAGTCTTGCTCTTGTTGCCCAGGCTGGAGTGCAATGGTGAGATCCCGGCTCACGGCAACCTCCACCACCTGAGTTCAAACGATTCTCCTGCCTCAAGCAATTCTCCTGCCTCAGCCTCCTGAGTAGCTGGAATTATAGGCATGCGCCACCACGCCAGGCTAATTTTGTATTTTTAGTAGAGACGGGGTTTCTCTATGTTGGTCAGGCTGGTCTCGCACTCCTGACCTCAGGTGATCCACCCACCTTGGCCTCCCAAAGTGCTGGGAAGAATAAGCTTTTTAAAATAAATGTTTATTGAATAAATGAATGAAAAATCTAGGTGGTAACTTCAGGTATGGTTAGATCCAGGTTCTTGGCATGTCATTAGAATTTTGTCCTGTCTCGTGGCTTTTCTCTCTTCTGCATTGGCTTCATTCTCAATCAGGCTTGATGTGTTACAGGTGATGATAAGAAGGCCACCAGCAGCTGCAGATTTACATTCTAACAATTTTGCAGCATAAATGCAGAGAAGGTGCCTCTTTCTTGATTGTTCCAGAGAAAGCCCTGGATATATCATATAGTCTGGCCTTGGGTCAGGTGGCAATCCCCAAAACAGTGTCTAAGGTAGAGGAGAAAAATGTTGTGACTGACTGGGCCCAGGGCCAGTCAGGGGGCCCTTTGGAGCCCGGGATAAAGTTCAGCTCCATTTAGGCTGAGAACAGAGGAGAGGCGGTTTCCTAAAAGAAAATGGGATGCTATCACTAGAAGAAGATGGCGACTAGGCAACAGATGTCCACTGCATCATCAACGACCCACCCGCCAACTAAGCCCAAAACAGCGTTCTTCTGCCTCTCCATTGTCCTGTGCAGCCAGATGAGCCTCTGACCGTGTTTACGCTTCTCTCCTCCAAAATGCCTTTTCCGGCCGGGCGCGATGGCTCAAGCCTGTAATCCCAGCACTTTGGGAGGCCGAGGCAGGTGGATCACGAGGTCAAGAGATCGAGACCATCCTGGTCAACAAGGTGAAACCCCGTCTCTACTAAAAATACAAAAAATTAGCTGGGCAGGGTGGCACGTGCCTGTAATCCCAGCTACTCAGGAGGCTGAGGCAGGAGAATTGCCTGAACCCAGGAGGCGGAGGTTGCGGTGAGCCAAGATCGCGCCATTGCACTCCAGCCTGGGTAACAAGAGCGAAACTCCGTCTCAAAAAAAAAAAAAAAAAAAAAAAAGCCTTTTCCCCTAGCTCTGTCGGGTAAGGGCTTCCTCATCCCTCAATGCCTGGTCCAAATGATCTCCCTTACCCCCACTCTTAACAGACACTGTCTCTCCCTTTTCTGAGTATCCTGTTTGTTTCTACTTCTCTAGTAGTTAGTTTTGTACGCCATGCCTTGTATAATATTTTGCTTACTTGTAGACATCATGAATTCTTTGTGAAAAAGGGTAAGATCCATTCCTAGGGTGTCCAGGCCAGCGCCTCACTACCTCTGGACACCGCAGTGACTCGATGCCCGCTGGAGCCGCCAGGGTGCGCTAGGCGCCCAGCACGAGGCCGTCAAGGGCGGCAGGAGCTGTGATTGGCAGGCGCGGTCGTCAATCCGGGGCAGGCGGAGCGGGCCGGGCCGCCCACGAGGCCTCTGGGCGGGAGGCGGGGCCTGCATGAATGGGGCGCGCGGTGCGCGGGCTGCAGTCGGCGCTCGCGGGGGAAGCCCGAGTTGCAGCCGGGAGTGGGTGGGAGGAAGCGAGGTTGGGGGGGAAGGGAAAGAGTGCGGGGGGCGGGGAGGGGCAGCGCCCAGGCGGTGCGCCGAGCGAGGCAAGGCGGCGGGTGTAAGGGAGAGCCAGCCGCCTCTGTTCCCCTCGCCTCGGTGCGGCTGTCCGCGGCGCTGCCTCCGCCCTCGCTGCGCGCCGCCGCCGGCGGGACTCCAGGGAGCCCCCGGCGCCCCCGACGGGGCCGAGGAGTCTGGACTTGGGGATCCGGCGCTGAGGGAGGAGCCTGGTCGGAGCCGCGAAGCCCAAGGCTCCAGGGCGTGAAGGTGGGGGGGCTGAGGCCCCTGAGGGGGCCCCGCCGCGATGGGCAACCTGGAGAGCGCCGAAGGGGGCCCGGGAGAGCCGCCCTCTGTCCCGCTGCTGCTGCCGCCCGGCAAGATGCCGATGCCTGAGCCCTGTGAGCTGGAGGAAAGGTTCGCCCTGGTGCTGGTGAGAATTGAGCCCAGCCCCTTCCCCCGCCTACCGCCCCTCAGGTCCAGACGCCCCGGCTGGGACTTTGTGCTGGGCCCCCGTCCCGCCCACCCCCTCGAGTCGGGGTCCCAGACAGATCCTGGCCTCCAATGTCTTCCCGGGAACCTCTGAGCAGCCGCTGGCTGGCCGGGACAGCCCCGTTCGGGGATCTCGGGACCGACGCCTCCACCCCTGGACGCTTAGGAGGAGGAGATCTCCCCAAGCCCGGGACCGTCCCGGGAACCAGGCTTTTGCCTCCTCCTTCTTCCCACTTCTGCGGCCCTTCTCCCGTCTCCCCTGTTCCTCGCCAGACTCCCAGTCCCTAGTATTCTTAGTCTGGAGCCTCTCGCGGGGTGGGGGGAATTCAGAAGCGCGGCCGGCTCGCTCCTCAACAGGCTTCCCTTAGTGGGGACCCCACCTCTCCTGCGAACATGGAGGCTTCCCAGGGAGTGGGTCCCACTCCCAGCCCAGACCAGATGTTTGGGGGGAGAGGGAGATGGGGAGGGGGCTGGCAGCTCCTGAAGGGGGTGGAATAAGGAGTGATGCCATTCTGCTTATTTTCAGAATGGCCTGCAGGCATCCTGCTAAGTTATAGTGGATTTGCCTAAAAGGCTGAACGTGTGGATAAACCATTTCACCGGGGTATTTTTCCAAGTGAAACAATACACAAACCATCCCGTCGCCTACCCTCCTTTTCATGTTAAGCCTTAGTGACTGGTTTGTGTTCTTTAGCCCGTGCTTTTTAGTCTTTCTGTAGGTTTCAAAATGGTCTGCATAAGTAGGTTTTTGCAGCTGACTTTGGGATTCTTCTTTGGTGTGGGAATTGAACGTTGATGTCAGTGGCTCTGTGAAGCGAGAGGTTCTGAGCTAGTATCACTGGGAAGGAGCCAGAGAATATGTTGGAGCTGAAAATGTTTTGCAGAGAGAAAACATTGGTAAACCGGGGGTTAATCTTTGAGAAACTCGGTGAAATAATTGTCAGTTCCCCAAAGAATTATCTAAGAAGCAGTAATAATTCTGGCGTTATTGTTGGTATGGCCTGAAGGGTCGACTCTGCCTTTGCCTCTGCCCAAGAGGAGGGGTAAGTTGTGGACTTAGCAGCCTTATTGGGTTTCATCTGCCTTGGAATAAGATTAGATCTGTTGGCAACAGTGGAGCTGTCTAGAGATCTTGGCTTCTCCGATGGTAGAGAGCCTGACATCAGCCCACTGGCACCAGAGCTGGCTCAGAGAAAGTCCACAGTGTTCCAAGGGGAAGTGGTGTCTCTGGCACCTCTCTGCCTGCTAGCTCTGCGAAGGGCCGAAGGGATGTGGGCTACACATCCTGTGGCCCTCTGCATTTCCCCCAGCCTCCTCAGGGGAATCGGGTGAGTCAGTAATTACTAATGTGCTGTGACCATCTCACAGGCTGAGGAGGAGAGACTGGGACTTAGCGTCCTTGAGAACAAGAGCCCAGCTGTTGGGGAAAAGAGTGGGAGGGGATCTGCATTCTGGTGGGGTTGTGAAAACCCCCAGCAAGTTGACAGGAGTTAGCTATAGAAATTGGGGCGAAAGGGATGGGGTGAGGTGGATTGGATGGGAGGCTGCCTTAGGTAGGAGCTGCCCGGCCATTTTTTGGTGAGAGCTCAGAACCAGAGTCCATCATGTTCTCATTGACCTTTGGTTGGCCAGTTTGTTTAGTTAGCAAACTAATGACTTAATATTCACAAAATGCATGTGGTGTCCTAATTAACCAGGACACCGGAGCACTGGGAGAACCCAGGTCAAACGAGGGACTGGACCACCCACTTGCATGCCTTGCTTTCTGTGTAAAATTTTGATTTGTTTCCTCGTGTCTTTTGTTTTGGTCTAGTTTCTGTGTGCTTGAGCTGCTGCTTCTGATGAACAGGGCAGGCCAGGGCTAGTTAGTTGTCTCAGGAGACGAGGGGATTTCACCTCAATTTTACAACACAGGGAAATCATCCCTTCTTGGGAATTTGAGTTCTTCTCTGGGGGCTCTTAAGTGTCCCGTGTGCCCACTGTTCTGAAAGGTACCCTTTATACCACGTTTTGAGAACATGACTGTGAGTTAGACGTTTGACCCAGGTACAGGCTCAGGTGTATTTCCTGAACAGTCAGGAGAAGCATAGTGTAGTAGAAAAAAACAAGGACTCTGGCTTAGCAAGTATCTTAACTTCTCTGAGCCTAGGACTTCTTCCTCATCTGTAAAATGGAGGTGATAATTCCTGTTCTGGTAGGATTGTGAGAATTAGGTGAGCCCCTGTATATAAGGTGTTTGGCACCCAGTAAGTACTCAATATAGACTAGCTTTTCTCTTTTTCTTTCTTTCTTTCTTCCTTTTCTTTCTTTCTTTCCTTTCTTTTTTTTTTTTTGAGATGGAGTCTTGCTCTGTTGCCCAGGCTGGAGTGCAGTGGCATGATCTCAGCTCACTGCAACCCCTGCTTCCTGGGTTCAAGCAATTCTCCTGCTTCAGCCTTCTGAATAGCTGGGATCACAGGTGTATGCCACCACACCTAGCTAATTTTTGTATTTTTAATAGAGATGGGGTTTCGCCATGTTGCCCAGGCTGGTCTTGAACTCCTGACCTCAGGTGCTAGGATTACAAGCATGAGCCACCGTGCCTGGCCAGATTAGCTTCTTTTCATTTATAGCATGAAACAATCAGATAAGCTGTTCCTTTTTCACCTTTTTCTTTCCTAGATTGTCAGCTTCATTCTAATTGGTTTGGTTTTTGAAAAAGCTATTTGGGAGATTTGTTGAGGTGACATAGTGGTGTCCTGGTTAGCATATGGACTTTCAAGTCAAGAGTGGGTTCAAATACTGTTTCATCCATACTCTTCAGTTAGAAGAGTGTTTGACCTCAAGCAAGCTACTTAATCTGAGTCCCAGTCTCCTCTTATATATGGGGATAAGGAGGTTGTTGTGTGAATTTAATAAAATTGGAAGTCAAATACCTAGCAAAGTCTGGCATCTGCTATATGTTTAGTAAATGGTATCTTTTAAGTTTGTATCTCTTAGCAGTGAGTCACATCTGAGATCACTTGTGTTCCCAAAAATGGGTTTTAAAGTTTAGAAATCTGATAAAACCAATTACCCTGTTGTGCATACCCAGTCTCAGACTATGGCTGCTGCTGTTAGCTGGAGGGCTTCCTCAGCTCCAGTGTATCTGTGGAAAAACCCCTGAAGAGTATCCTCACTGGGGAAGTTGTATCAGCGCTGAGTCAAGACCACAGGCTCCCAGCTTTCTGTTCCGGACACATGATCTGACCCATAGCCTATCAGCCAAAGTTGAAGAGCCTGAGATGAGGGCTAAGAGAGATTCATTGATTCCAAGAATCCTAACCCAGCCCAATGCCTTAATTCAGGGCTTTCCTACTGGTATGCTGCAGATGGGTTACAGGTGTGCTGGGATACTGATTTTCCCCTTATTCTTAGGGGTGGGTAAAGTTCCCAGTCAGTACCCTCTGGATGGGATCAGCTTCTAATCCACGTACTGTACGAACAGTATTATTTTCTAGATATGCCTTGATATGAAAAAAGTTGTGGGGCTGCTGTGTTGCATTGCTTCTTGGCATCCTTCCTTACCCCTTATCTGAGCAGCAGTTCCCATTCTGTTGAGTATTTAGAAGTTTGGGTTGGGGCAATTAATGGAACTCCTCTTTTTTTTTTTTTTTTTTTTTTTTGAGACGGAGTTTCACTCTTGTTACCCAGGCTGGAGTGCAATGGCGCGATCTTCGCTCACCGCAACCTCCGCCTCCTGGGTTCAGGCAATTCTCCTGCCTCAGCCTCCTGAGTAGCTGGGATTACAGGCACGCGCCACCATGCCCAGCTAATTTTTTGTATTTTTAGTAGAGACGGGGTTTCACCATGTTGACCAGGATGGTCTCGATCTCTTGACCTCGTGATCCACCCGCCTCGGCCTCCCAAAGTGCTGGGATTACAGGCTTGAGCCACCGCGCCCGGCCCGGAACTCCTCTTTATAAATACCAGAATGAAAGCCAATCTCTGGTCTGATACAGTCCCAGTCTGTGTTTTGATCCACACTAGATTACTACCCAAACTCAGTTGCTCAGAAGCTAGTACTGGACTTTCCCTGGAGAGGAGAGGCAGATGGCTCTAAGGTCTTTGAAAGAATAGCTCTCTCTCTTTGTTGTGATTGCACCCTGATTTTTTTCTTCGTTCATTTACTACAGACTTGAAATGGAGTATAAAAGATCCAGTGCCAGAAAAAGCCCTACATGTCCCCCAGGCGGAGGCTTTCAGGGCATGAGGGTAGGGTTGTGTGACAGGGGCTATCCCTGCTGCCGTTCCTTCTCTCATATTTCCCTGGTGATGACTGACAACTTGGGGGTTTTTCTGTAAGTGTAGCATTGATGTGGGAGCTAAGCTGGCCTGAGTGCTAGTTGTCTAAGAAGCTTCGAGGGGCCTCCTTTGACACAGAAAGGGGCTGGGAAAAACTTGGACTAAATATCAGGTTCCAAATCGCCATGGTGGAAATGTTTTCCCCAGCCCTCAGGATTGTGGTGAATTAGTTCAGGCTGGAATAGAACTTGGGAGGGGGCAGGGAAAAGGCCTTTGACCGAAGCTGGTCAGAGAAGCCTTATTCTTGTTCAAGGACCCCACAGAGAAGACCCTAGGCCACAGAGGGGAGTCTTGTTCCCTTGACCTTCTGATATGACCCTGCCTTAGTCTGGGGGAAGCCTGTGTGTGGGGAAGGGACTGATGGAGTGGACTCTGTCATTTGGGAATGTTTTCATTGCCCAGAGGGAGAGTCAGCTTTTTTTTTTTTTCCTCTTAAAGTAATACTTTATTCTCTAAAGAAAGTATATGAGGCAATTCAGAAAGAAGAAAATATTAAAGATTTAGGTTAAAGGAAAACATCCATATTTTTTCTAGTTTTTTACCAAATGCAAGTATTTTCTCTAGTTCCTTTACCAAATGCAGCTGATGTGTTTTAAAACCTTTTTCTTCCTCTGCATA